ATTGAAAGCACAGCAATAGCCACGAGTCTCGTAGCTCTTGAGGACCTGATTGCGGGAGTCTTTGAGCTCTTGAGTGAACCTCTGGACACACTTCGGGATAGCGGGCGCCGACATTGCGGTGCATAGGGTGGTAGTGAACGGTTTGATCACATCTGATAAGTCAAAGCCATTGGCCATCAGAGGTGTGGTGATGATCATCATTATGAGAAGTGGTAAGGACTTCATGGTGTAAGGGTTGGTGACACTTGTGGTGAAGACTTTTGGTGATATATATGTAGGAAGTGTTGACTTAAAGCTATGGCTTTTCAATGGGTTTTCAATGGCTGTCTGTATGTGTCATATGATGTCATACTTTGCATACAATTTTGCAATCTTTTCAATACTTTTCATACAAAACAGGCAAACATTTTGTCGATGTTTTTGAGATCATGTTTCATAAGTTTTTTATTACTTTCTCCGGTTTCTTAGACTATGAGAGCACAGGGAGGGGTACAGGGGCTTGAAGTTGTGATAAACTATTTGTTATAGTAATTTAATAGTTATTAATTTGTATAAATTATTTTTCCAGTAAATAGTAAATAGTAAATAGTTATTTTATTTTCCAGTAAATAGTTATTTTGTTTTAATATGAATGTTACTTATTTATAACTATTATTATAAGTTTTACAGTATTTATATAAATTATATGCCTATTACAAAATACATGTGCAAACATTAATCACTAGACTATAGCTGTTAACTAACTATTTAACTCTATTTATAAATGTTAATTAATACAGTGCTGTATATTTTTTCATACCAAAACACAATAATAATATTTAGCCGGCACATTAAATGAATAAATCATTAAATACAGTGCAGAATTGCAAATTAATTCATACAAACAAGTGTTAGTTATAATCACACAAAGAAAACTAAACACTAATAGTAAACAAATAAGTTTTATATTATATTTTAATAACCATTAAATCGATTTAGTATTGAGTATTAAACGTAATGTTAAATGCATTTAAAAATAGTAATTCTTACGAAAAACATACAAAAATTAAAGATAATTATAAGGAAACTAATTGTCATATTAGGGATACTTTATTGAAGCATTTATTCAGATTCCGGCACTACTTCTGTAGACATCCTCTTTAGCCATCACGTGATCCCCGACAACATCGGATCACCACTGAGACAATCATCAGGAATACGATCCCCAGGAATACGACCCCCAAACTAATCGCCTCCGCAATCAACAGCCAATCTATGAGACAATTAAGACGTTAGCCACTGACATCAATGATACTATCAATGGATCCTAAGATGTCCGATACCCTGCTGACACAGTACGGTACCCCCAAAGCCCCGGTAGGCATCGCAATAACCCCATGGGTATCCTATCCTTATGGCCGTCTTAACGTAATGGTCGGCCAGTTGTCTTATCTGAGTGTTGCCGCATTTGTCGCCCACGTGTTCAACGATACAGTCCTTCAGGT